AAGAGCCCTCCTGGGGCTGAAGTGCTACTTATCTTTAAGAGCTTTTTGCAATAAGTCTTTTTAGTAATTATGATTTTAAAACCTCGGTTTTGTTTCTATTATTATTATTATTTGCTTCCTGACCAAAATTAGGAACTGGGGGTCAGTCCTTTGTATCCAGCAATCGCCCAAAGATGACGGGTCGGCCACATCCATAAATTTTCTTATGGATTTTTCCTAATGTTTCATTGCATTTCATTTATTTATTTTGTTTCTTTCTTACTCCCGTTAAAGCTTTTAAAGATGGGGCTGGGATTTGACCTTGATGCTCACTCGATGAAGCATAGACTTTTTTGTTTGTTTCTATTATATCATCCTCATTTTATATTTCTTATATATAATATATATGACTATATATATATGTGTACATATATATATATCTCTATATGCATCATATCAGTGTAGATACCCATCTAGTAGCTTTTAGGCCTTGTTCTTGTGCCATTTTTTTTCTGTTACTGATCTCTGAATGCCTTCAAGTGTATAAAGTGTTGAATTCTCTCTGGTATCTGTACTATGTACACACATTTTCATAGGAAGCACAATAAGATGACAGATGCATTGTACATCAATACCTGCTACTCTTAACAATGATATAAAGAATGATATAACTCATGAACACTGAGCCTTTCTCTCTCACCGAGCTGCAGGAAACGTTCCCCAAGGAGGCAGGTGGGGACAGCACCATCCCAGGATGCTCCTGAAGGTCTCGCTGAACTCCTGGAGCTGAGGCCAGAAGGAAGGGCTGGGGGAAAGGATAAAGCTGTAGTCTGGACTTGCATGAAGTCTTCAAACGCGTGCTTTGCTGTGCTAATGTGGCAATTGTTCTTGGTACCTAAGCGAGCTCCAGTGTCGCTGCCTGGTCCTGCTCTGCCACGTGAGGACACGTCAGGGCTGGAGGATGGGAACTGATTTTTGCTCCCAAGGGGGGACGAGAATTAACATACGCACAGCTGCTAATCCTTGACAACTCTAACACTTTTGTGGTTTGGGACAGACACCTGAGTTTCAGCAGAAATGAGTCACTGGCTTGGATCTCACCTGCTTTTAATTTAACAGAGTTAGTAGCAGTTGTAGCACAAGCCATATGTAAACACAGTTTCTGTCCTAAAGATTTCCAGCTGCAGAGAGCAAAAGTAACATGCCAGATCCAACACTGTGCATCAGAAAAAGCCCTCAGGACCCCACACAGACTGAATAACAGTGAGTGGGCAGGGAATACTGAAATGCCAAACTCCCTCTGGTCACTTGGCTCTGGTCATGCCCCTGTTGCTCCTGGAAATGGCAGCCGGGTGTTTTGCATTTAAACTAGAACTGACTTACTGCTACTCTGGTCCTTCTCTGCCAGAGCCGGTGCTGCATAGGCTACAGGGTGGGCTTTGAATAGGAACAAGATAATATAGCTAACTGCCAGAAGGGAGTTAATGAACCTAAATTAATTGCAACCAGCCACTGAGTAGCCAGGGCAGCTGACCACGCGTGCTCCCTCCGCAGTGGCATTCACAGCAGCTCCTGTTGCAGGGGGCAGGCAGCAGCCCTGGTGCTGAGGGCTGTAATCTCTTTCGCAGCTCCCCATTAACCCTGCTGGGAGCAGGTCACCCCCTCCATCTGTCACAGCCTCACGTTGCGCAGGAACATCCCCAGCCTCAGCACGGCTGGCAGAGCCGTTTCTGCCGCTGCGCTCGAAATGGTGTCTGTGCTGCAAGGCACAGCCTGGACCCAAAGGTGGCACAGCCAAGACAGTTCCCATCCCAGAAGCTGGGCGCGGGAGCACGTTGGGAGTACCGCAGGTAGCCAGACAGCACACAAATGTGAGCAGCCCTGTTACGAAGTGCACAGGTTGTATGTTTCCATATTCAAGGCTCCATTGCGCAAGCGAGCTGTGCACCTTCAGAGCATGCCGGGGCAGTGTCCGCTGGCCAGGGAGCCTTGAGGGGGGCTGTGGTGCACGGATGGGTGCACTGCGTGAGGCTGGCAGCCTGCAAGGTGCGTAGCAAAGGCAGCATGCGTGTTCATCCACGTCTGTCACTCAATATTATTGCACGAGATTCATGCTGCGCGCAAGACAGTTAATTACACGTCGCAGGAAGCATCTCTGATGATCTACGTGAGGATGAGATGTGACACACCTAGGCCTGAGACGCTGGGAAGCACCTGCTTGCACACTGCTGTGTTTACCTCGCAGATCGTGTGGCTGCTGAAACCCTACAGAGCAAGGATTAATCATGCAGGATGCATAAAACCATGGCAGAGATAGCATCACCTCCTTTCCTCCCTGGCAGTAATTCCCGCTTACCACTTGCTCAGTGCTAAAGCTGCCAGCAGAAACAGGCGCTGAGATATAATTACACAGTCCTGGATGCTGCTTGGCTGCCTGGAGCCAGAGCCATACGGGTTGGGGAGGAAGGTTTCAGAGTAGCTGCCTTGCGCCAGCAGGTGCAGTAAAACCAAGGTGCACGGGGTAGCATCACACAAACCATCTCCACTGGGAGGAGTGAACCAACCAAACCCTCAGGGCACAGGCAAGGGGGAAGGTGTTTCTTAGGGGATACAGCTAATAACAGGGGACAGAGAGCTGGGGTTGCTCCCAGCTCAGCTCAAGCAACACCGGGGCTCTCAAGACCCTGCAGCTCCCTGTGCCAAACTGAGCAGCTATCTGACTCCCATTTCCCTCTCTCCACTTCTCAGGTTAGCCCTTGCTTTCTGCTGCTTTCACAGCTCCTCACTCTGTCTCTCCCAGGAGAGCCAGGCAGTTCCAGCCTGCCCAAAAGGCTCCTGCCATCCTGCCAGGCTTTAAGTCTCAGTCAAAGTTGCATCCAAACAATACGGAGCAGATAAGTTCCGCTGCTTTTCCTCCCCATGAATATTTCATAAGGCAGCTGGGCGCCAAGCCTGTCAGAGGTGGCATTAAATTAACTGCATGGACACACGGATGCTGAGACAACAGTTAATAGGCTGTGCTCAAAGCACTGAGGGTAGGAAATACCGTATCTGGCAGAGAAGGTACCAACACATCCCCACTTCTTTGCTCAGTTGACAATGCCATGCACTGTACAGGACATCCTCCTAAATGATCCACGATCATTAATTGTTTAATTAGTGCTTGTGATGTGACTGTTCACCTAGGTTTTTTTCCCCCACAAATTAACGTTGGCTGCATTTATGTCCCTTTTCTCTCTGAGCAACCACAAGGGGAAGCGCTCTAGGGAATAGGGAGCTTAATGCTAATACTTGCAGAAAGTGGCCTTTAAATCTAACATTGTGCTGCCTGTAGCAGCCCAAGCCGCTGCTGAGGGAGATCGGAGCCCTTTACCTGGCTGTTCAGCCTAAACCTGAACAAACAAGGCCCCGGCTACCTGATCAGTGGCAGAACCCACAGTGAAACCTGGTGGTCTATACTCACGAGTCCCCCTCTTTATCCAGTCACCACCGAGGTTCAAACCCTACGTACTGGGAGGAGGTTTCTGCCTCCAGCCTTTGAAAAATCACTTTCAGAAATCCCATTCTGAACATCCTCCAAGTCCCTCCATTAACTCACACTTATCCATATGCAAAGAGTAATTTGGCATGACCTTGTGAGGAGCTATTTCGGATAACTTTGTACCTCTGTGGAGTATTATCACCATCTAGACGAAGTCTTTCAGCTACAACATACTGACGCAGACATATATATTCACACCGATATAAAAGCACATCCATTTATGCCCCCACATGCTTACTTCTTAAGATGTTAAGGACAGCAGCTCCAGTGAGAGGCGTTACCGCCACTTTGGCATCTCAGAGTCCTCCTTTCCGGGGCGCAGGCAAGGCAACCTTCCTCGGGGCACACCCCAGGGCAAGAGAGGCTGCAGGACCAGACCAGCATCTCCTGCAACAGGTAGATATTGTAAGAGCCAACGCTACCGTCAAAAGCCAGCCAAGCACAAGACTCATACCCCGACCCCCTTCAGCCCCAGAGCAGCTCCGGCTCTAGCAGCTCCTGCACAGTAGCCCTGAGGGCTGCAGGGGAAACCAGCCCAGCTGGAAGAGGGCAGAGGAGATCAGAGCAAGGTGTGCTGCCAGCTGAGGCAGGTAGACGAGCTCAGGGGCTGCCAGCCTAAGGGCTTAGGGAGCTGGAAAGTGTCTTACAGGTGGTTTTCTATGGATATCAGAGCCCCTGGCACACAGAGCTGCCTCTCCCACCCCAGACACCCCTCCGTGACAGTACAGATGGTGACAAAGGGGGATGACATACAGCAAACTGTGAGCTGGAGGGACGTAAAGGGAATAAAGAAAATAAAAGAAACATAGATCTCTAGGCCCCCTCCAAGGACACTGCTCCCCATGGCCCCTGCACCCCCTCCACAACGCCCCATGGACACCCCTAGGCCTCTGCACCCCCCATAGCCTCCCAATGGACCCTGCACCCTTCCCCCCACAGCACCCCATGGACCCTGCACCCTGATGGACCCCTCATAGTCCCTGCTCCCTCCTACAGCCCCCTAGACCCTGCACCTCCCACAGCCCCACATGGACACCCCATGGCACCTGCCCCTCCCTATGGCCTTCCATGGACCCCCCCCAT